CAACCAAGCCAGGATACGCGCTATTTCGAGATGAAAAAGTAAAATTTAATTATTGGAAATTCTTAATAGAATTAGTAATTAGAGGAAGCTTTCGCCGCTCTTGGGGTAATTAGCAATTCAAATTTATTTAAAATATTAATAAAAGCATTGCTACGTTTGTATTAATGATACAATACGAACGAGAATTGTTTTAATTTAACTTAAATAATTTTTTCATAGCTATTGCATACTATTTTATATAACTTATGGTGGATATGGTCGTCTTCAAATAAATCTCTCTTCTTAACATGAGATTAATCTACATATTATTGTAATATTTCATGCTCTTTTTTTTTAAATCTCATGTTACTTTTTTAATCTTCCAGTTCCGTACCACTTTAGCATGAGATTCATCTGAATATTTTAGTTTTAAATCTCATTTTTTTTGGCTCAATGTCATGCTTTTTAACATGAGATTTGTCGAAAAAACAAATACTTATTGTTCACTATTTTTATACAATTTTATTTTAGATATGATGCTCCCTTCAAAGATGTCTCAGGTTACTATCATCATATCTTTATATCCCGTGCTCTTTAACATGAGATTTATGTACAAATTATTGTTATATTTCATGCCATTTAAACAAATCTCACGTTTAATCTTCGAATTCCATACCTTTTTAACATGAGATTTATCCATCAATTTGATTTTGTTGTACATCTGAATATTTTAATTCTAAATCTCATGTTTTTGGTTGAATTTTATGCTTTATAATATGAGACTTGCCCAAAAAACAAATTGCTTACTACTGTCGTATAATTTTATGTTAGACTCTTCGAGCAAGTCTCATGATAGTAGATATATCTTAATCTTCAGGCTCTATACTTCTTAACATGAGATTGACAGAAAAATTATTGTTATATCTCACGCTATTTAAGAAAATCTCATGTTATCATTGTTTTAACCTACAAATCCCATACCTTTTAGCATGAGATTTATAAACAAATATTATTTTGTTTTACAACTGTATATTTTAGTTCCTAAATCTCATGTTTTTGGCTGAATTTCATGCTTTTTAACATGAGATTCATCTAAAAATTAATTTTGATTAAATCTAATTATTTTTAACTAATTTTCATGCTATTTTACATAAGCTTTAGCCAAGAAAACATAATATACACTAACTAAATAATACTTCAAGATTTTCATGATATTCGATTATTGATCATGCTCTATAGATACGAAATATTCATTTGAAGTAATGGAAGATTAAAATTTGATGTTTTCATTTGACTTCTATGCTATTAGATACTTTATTATAGATACTTTATCATAATATCTCTCAAAATTCTGTTTTTTTATTGATTCTACGTTATTTTTTCCCTGTCACCCACACAGACACATTACTCTCATCTATATATAACTTCTAAATATTAAATTATGTGTCTTATTTTTTTCCGAAACTCTCCAGAGAGCAAAAAAGAAGACGCCAAATTTTATGTAATTTATTCTGAGATAGGTGGACTGTCATTTTTCGTCCAGAAAACTTCATTCAATTTTCGCCCCAAAAAAAGGGAGAAGAAAAATGGGGAATATAATTATTTTTTGTTGAGGTTTGAATCATATTTGTGTTAATTTTTATATTTTTATGCTTATTTTTCTTTATTACTTTTGATAATAAAGGGAGGTATTATAGTGAAATGGGGCTACAGGGTGTTGAAATACTATATTTTTTATACAATATCTATAATATTATACATGCCATTTAAAATACAATAATTATATCCCTTAATAAACAACATAAAATAAATTTTGACTGTAAATTTGGTAAATAAACAAAACTATTTGACTGCTGAGGTCAAATTTTAATTGAAAATCATTCTGGTGAACGGGATAACATAGATAAATTATTCAGCAACATAGAGGAGCCCGAAAAAGATTTATTCTGCCGGAGGTGACAACGAGGCGATGTAAAATGCCCAGAGTGTCAGTTCCAAAATAAAATTCGCACGCTTTTTCAACTGGATGGATGAATTCGTTTGTGTAATCTTTTTTATCTCTCTAATCAGACCATTTATTTTTTGTAAATTAGAATCAGGGTTTCATCGAGACGAGAAATCTCGTCTCGAAGGCAATTTCTCGTCTCGTCTCGATCATCGATACGAGATAATAACAAACTCTCGTCTCCATGTTTTTCTCGAAGTCAATTTCTCGATCTCGATTCGAGATTCTCGAAAATAAATAACTGATTTATTATTATCAAAAAATTGGCGCAAGTGTGGAGGCAAGTATAGCCGCCCATACTAAAATAGTATAAATAGAAAAGTTGGTAGGCAGTTCTCTTTTAGTTTCAAAGTTTTCAATTTTTTTTTATCTCAAAAACTGCGACTTTGACAAATTTTGTTGCAAATATTATTCCTAATCTTAAATTGAAAACCGCGTTTCGCTAGCTACTGTAATTTTGGAGTTACGATTTTTTTAAATTTTTAACCCCCTTCCACACTCCCTTACCATAATGGCCAGATTCTCGGGTGCCACAGTATTTTTGTGCCAAAATTTGGTTAAAATCGGTTTAGCGGTTTTCGAGTTATCGTGTTACAGAGAGACAGACAGACACCATGAAAATATTTTTTATTTAGGTCATTTATGACCCATCGAAATCGAAAAATCTCGATCTCGAAAAATATCGAAGTCATTTTCTCGATCTCGTCTCGAAAAAAAATTCTCAGTCTCGTCTCGATCTCGTCTCGACTTTTTATCATCATTTTTTCAAAAGTATATTTATGATAATTGAAATATAATGAAATATTTAATTAAAGAAATAAAAAGTTCCTAAATTTATCATTTCAGTCAGATACATAAAATATATCTACTTAATATTGTTTATTTTTTTGTCAATAATGACAGGTTTTGACTATTTGTATTCGAAATATCTTGAGAACGGTTGTTCGTAGCGATTTTTACCAAGAGATATTTTTTACGTAAAAAATCACCGAAATGTATATTTTTTCACCCAGTAGTTTTAAACAGGTACGGACGACAAGTTATTACTCTTCAAATCAGTTAAAACACATGTAGGTCAAATTTCTCATGTCAAAAAACTCCCAGACGCCAATTTTTATCCAAATATTGACGTTACTTCAGAAATTATCTGGAAAAAATCGAAATAAAAATGAAACTTCTACACCCTGTATCTCCGAACCTAAGCATACTAAGATATACGAGGCATGTTTTTTAAGTAAGTACCGTTTTGCGATTCCGCCGCCGCAGCGCTACGGTCGGCGTTCCGCGCATGCGCACTGGTTACCTACATCTCTTGTCTATGAACAAACGCCAGTACAGTCTGATTCTTCATTGTATACGTTGTTTATTGAGTGTTTAAGATGCCTCCGACAATCGTGAGCCCCGCCGATTGTGAAGTACGGGCTGTCATACGATTTCTTAGTGCTAAAGGCGTAAAACCGATCGTTATTCATCGTGAGATCTGTGAAGTTTACGGACAAAACATTATGAGTGATGGAATGGTAAGGAAATGGGTGAGAGCATTTAAAGATGGCCGCACAAATGCGCATGATGAAGAACGGAGTGGGCGTCCTTCGGTCGTTAATGAAGATTTGGTGCAGAAAGTGGACGAAAAGGTGAAAGAAAACAGACGCTTTACAATTTCATCATTGTGCGACTACTTTCCTCAATGTTCTCATAGTGTTTTGTATCGCATTGTGACCGAGAACTTGAATTACCGGAAATTGTGTTGACGTTGGGTTCCGAAAATGTTGACGGATTTGCACAAAACCCAACGTTTAGGCAGTGCATTGACTTTCCTTGAGCAGTACCACAATGAAGGTAAAGATTTAGATTAGACAAAATTGTTACTGGTGACGAAACATGGGTGGCCTACGTCACACCAGAATCGAAACAACAGTCCATGGAATGGCGACATTCATCATCACCCAAAACAGTGAAGTTTAAGCAAACAATTTCTGCCCGGAAAATCATGTGCACAGTTTTTTGGGACAGAAAAGGAGTATTGCTAGTGGAGTTTCTGCCTCGTAATGAGACAATCAATGCAGCATCTTATTGTGAGACATTGAACAATCTGCGCCGTGCAATCCAAAACAAAAGACGTGGCAAGTTGAGTAAGGGTATTGTTTTGCTGCATGACAATGCCCGCCCACATGTGGCTAATCGGACCAAAGATCTCATCAAATCTTGTAAATGGGAAACTCTAGATCATCTTCCATACAGCCCTGATCTGGCGCCCAGTGACTACCATTTATTCTTGCACTTGAAGAAACACCTGGGCGGTCAGTGTCTTCAAGACGATAACGAAGTCAAAACAGTTGTGATACAGTGGTTAACCAGTCAGGCGGCAGAATTTTATGAGGAGGGTATTGAAAAACTGGTGCCACGTTATGACAAGTGCCTCAATATTCACGGAAATTATGCAGAAAAGTAGATTAAGGTACAGGCTTTCATGTAAAAATAAAATTATTGCGATAACTTTTCACGTTTTTTTTTAATTCCAAAACGGTACTTACTTAAAAAACATGCCTCGTACATTTATACGAACTTTTTTACTTATTTTTATATGCAGAATATGCTACCGAAGTTTCCGGAATACAGTTCGGAACACCCTGTATATTTGGTTTTAAATATGTTTTAAACAGTAATAAAGAAATATTGGTTTTAAACAAAACAATCCTATTCTGTCTGTGTAATTAAATAACAATTACTATTTGTATAATAAATATACCCTATTTTTTTACTGTAATAATCTATGTATACTATTTAAAATATACAAAATAAAAAAATCATACTTACTTCTCAAATTTCTTTTAAATAAAACAAGAACACCTCCAAACTACTCCACTATTTCTGAAAAAACTTTTTTCCTGGGCCAGTTAGCGCGACTAGCTATCGAGTTCGTTCAACTTATCCCAGCTCCGCCAGAATTTCCCGCGTTCCCTGTGACTCTGCCTGGAGCCTGGAAGACGCGGCCTTGCCTGGACCAGCGGCGACGATGCACTGGCTGAATGAGAGTCCTGTGGGACGGATGCTACATCCCTATACGCAGCTGGGGGAAGGGATGTCGGGACATCCGGGGGAGACGTTCTATCATTCCAGGTGAATGAGGGATTGAGAAGAGGTTAAATGTAGGGGTTAGCATAGATTTGGAGAAGAAAATTAGATTGGGGATGTGTAGATTTTGAAAAAAAAAAGATTTTAAACATTGTATACAAGGTGTTCCAGTCTGAGAGTGCATTAGAGAACCGCAATATCTAGATCGGATTTTTTGCACATCATTGTTTTACAACGAGATCTATCATCGATTAAAAATATTTTTGATATGGCGGTATTACACAAAAAGACAAACAAACTGATAAAATATGACAAACTTACTGGAAAGATACAATGCATACAGAAAGTTTTCTGATATTCAAGGCAATAATCTATATCCCAAGCAGCATTTGGACGTCGGGACAACGTTGTGTCACGCGACCAAACGTCGGGGCCCAACGTCGGCACAACCTCGTGCCAACCCTAGTCTGCACTAGTTTGGAGAATAATTTTTGGGTCGAAACGACGTTGGATAGCGACGTTGGCTAGAAGTCTAATTTAGTACAAACTGCAACGTTGTTTAAAATCCTAATTCACAGAAATACAAAACTAATATGGCGTCTAAGTCGCGTTTTATCCTAAATTGGGATAATTATAGTAAAAAATATTATTTTTATGATTTAGTTAGAGACATATGTCAGATGGCAGTGAAGGAAAACAAAACAAAAGTATTTAAGTGTGGGGGATGTTTGAAGATCATAATTATTGAAACACTTTAACCGACTCAGTAACTCGTTACCCAAGGCAAAAAAGTTAAACGCAAACAACTTTATTGATAAATGTACTGTTTCTACTTTGAAAAATACTAATGGGCCTTAAAATTAAAGAAGTTTTAAAAATTTTCTTGAATTTTTTTTTAGTAAAATGAGAATAATTTATTCGCAGTCGAAAAATTGTTTCCGCGTGTTTTTAGGGTCAAATATTTCAAGTTAATGTATTCAAAAAGCAGGAATTGCTATTTTAGGAACGAAACATTTTCTTATTTAACAATATGGCGGCTTTCACTGTGTTGTTTTGGAGATTAAGATGGAGTAGTTCGAGTAGTCGCATACTGGACTAATAAAGTCGTAGTTCAGCCTTAACAGGTAGTATACTAGTCGCAAGATTGCCTAATTTAGTCATCCTAGAGTCTAGCTTGTGCCGCCCTCTATAATCTAAATAAACGAGGGAGTGGATAAACTATCGGTACCTTTCTTATGTTCCATTTTAATTAAGTTTTTTTTTATAAAAAACAAAAACAGCACTGAACTGTCTGACTGAACAGAACAATGAAGTGAAAATTTAAGATTTAAGGTTATGGTTCAATACAGTTGCAAAAAGGTAGTGACTCGACGTCCTACCAACGTAAGAATAAGGAAATCTAAACAACGCTGGAATTAGTAAAACAGACGACGTTTGCATAACGTTGGAATAGGTCCTGAAACTGACGTCGGAAAACTCTATATTGTCCAACGTTGTAACTACGTTGTCCGAACCACGTAAAGATCACTTAAGCAAAAAAGGTTACAAGACAACGTTTATTCGACGTCGCAGAAGCTTCTACTTTGCTGTAGCACTAGTCCAACGTCGGCACAACGTTATAAAAACGTTTAAATTTATTTTAATACCCATGGAAGGGAGCTAACTATTTTTTGTAACTAATCCAACGTTGTGTTTAGTAAACATGTGGTCGCAAGTCGTGAAAATGCTACTTGGGATGGTTATAAATTCAAATCATTCACATATTACTTACGTATAATAACCACACTAAATAACAGTTTGCATCGTCAATTAATTTGTGTGTCATATACACTCGCGTAATGAAAACAATTTATCAAAGTGCTTCAACAGAGTCAAAAGCACTCCAAACTGAAGGCTTTAAAGGAACAAAAGAGCCATCAAACAATGACAAGTATACTCATTTCTTTTTCAAAACCTCTTGTAAATATAAGGGCCAACTTAAACAGAGTAGATTTATCAAAAAATTTGTTTTTTATAAGTTTAACTCAATATTTATTTAAAAAATTATTATTTATTGGATAAATTTATTAGTTATTTGCATTTTTTTGGTTAAATTTTCATATCAAAAAATATAAAGTATAAAATATAAAGTAGAATAAATATTAGACAACATTAGCATACATTTCTAATAATATGAGAATCAGGGTTGCCAAAGTTATGATATTTTTTACCCAAATTTGTTGCAAAGTATTAGTGAATAATATCTATAGGTTTTTAGCTGGTTAATTTCTTAAAAAAATCTTGTAAAAATCTGTAGCAACGGCCCTTTATGTCCCTTAAGTGCTGTTAAGAAATTGATGTAAATAATAACTGTTTATATACCGGGTGTTTTATACCATGTAAATTTTAATGGGGTCAATTATTGGCTTCCCTAATTATTTTAGAGAATAATTAATTAGAGGACAACTTTAGATATTTTTGATTAACCCGTTTACCAGTTATCGCCGATTTCTTTTTAAATATTTCTCCTTTTTTATAGCCCTGTACTTACGTACGAGCACCAGTCAAGGTAAAAAATAACTGTCAAATGAAGTTGTCATTTCAGAAATTTATCTATTTAGTGCTTTATTATTATTATTAACAACTCATACCTACATCGAAAATATTAGCCATGAATTACACTACCGAAGAAAAAGTATTGATGATTAAATGGTATTATCAAGGAAATAGTTATCAAAGGTTGTCGGACATGTTTGCTGTTCTGCATGGCCGGTTTAAATTAGGTAATCAAAACAATCAACTAATTTATTCGACGTAAAATGTTGGTTATTGGCATGTTATTTAAAAGCAGCACAAGTTCAGTTTCCGTGTAGTTTATCAAAATATCACGATGCAAAGCAAAATTATCTGGTAAAATTAAGTTAAATAAAATAAGAGCCGTTTAGCAATTTTGCAGTACCTAAATAAATAAATATAGAGTATATTATAAGTTTAGAAAGCTCATAGCAAGGCAAATAAAATAAAAAATAATATATAGAGTGTCCTGTTTAAAAAAAAAGAACATAAGTTCTCCCAACGAAGAACTAGTTTCGTCACTGCATTCTACCTGAAAAACGAGACACTGGCGGTGGGTAAGTACTCAATAGGTAGAACAAAACAATATCAGGGTATCCGGTATATACCTGTACATTTAGATGAATAGTCTAATTTTATAAAAGTTATTTTCAACGACCGCATAGTAAATACCCGGTATAATACCAGTAATATCAAGAATACGAGTATATCTACAATATTCCTTGTATGTATATTGGTATATTTCTATTCCCGGTATTATACAGGGTATTTACTATGCGGTCGTCGGAAACTCCTTTTATTAAAATTAGGATGTTCATCTAAATCTACAGGTAGATTTTATTTATCTACAAATTGGGTACTTACCCAATTTCTATCACTGATCCTTTTCACCTTTTCGATAAGTTATAAGATAATCGAGATACAAAGATTATCGAAAAATGCAAAAATTTCTACTAATTAAAAAATAAAAAGTAAAAGAAAGAAATAAGAAATAATTTTGAACTAAGAAGGCTAGGATAAATCTATGTGTAGCATATTTAGTTTCATAATAAGTAGAACAATGATGTGAAAACGGCATCTTTATATCTCTACTCATAAACCAGATACCCCATAAAACATACAAAAATGGGACATCCTGTACATCTAGCAATCGCCAGTCGATATAAAAATATTTCACACACAATAGTCTAAAAAATGGAAGAAAAAAACAATATTGTCTTCATATTTGTGAAAAAATGCATGTCCATATTTATGTAATCGTAGCGACAAAAATAAAAAAAAATAGAGATAGTGTGCATGATGCCTTTACAAAAATATCTGAAGAAATGGGATTGACATCAACGTTTAATTAGAATGTCGTATTTCATAGTTTCGATATAAATTACATAATAAACTTTAATAAAATTATGCGCCTTTCGAATTTTTTAAAAATTTTAGAGCTTACAAGATATTTCGTAATAAACATGTAACTGCTATATTAAAAATATTTTGTGGTGTGTTGTTGCATAATCGACTAATTTCCAAGCATCGGATGGACGAAGGAAGGAAGCGAAGGGACGAAGGAACGAAGTGAAGTGACGAAGTAACGCGAGGAAGGGACGAAGGAGCGAAGTGTGAGTATGGGGCTTAAAGGAGAGTGTAATTAGAACGTTGTTGGGTGCAATAACATTCAATAACTCAACTTTCCCGGATATTCAACTCTTCCGAAACACCATTTTACAGCTTCATAGTTTCTCACGCCGATTTGATCAAAAGCAAAAATGAATTCAAGCAGTTCGACGAAAGAAGTGAGTAAACAAAGTGCTTGTTACATAATCAAAAAATTAAATAGACATAGGCTATGAGAGGATAAAATATAATTTGCAATATTAATGGTATACTTTTTTTAATCAACTAGTGATTAAATGTTTTATGAACATCTTCTAAAATCTATACTAATATATAAAATCGTTAAATGACGGACATACTGATTAATCACGATCCTGCTCAAACCTTTCAACGCAAGAAGCTCAATTTTGGCATACAGGTTGATTCTAGGGTGTAGAGGTTCGATAAGGAGGGGTTTCTCGAATCTCAAATTCCAAGAGGGTGAAAGCCCCTCAAATATTACAATATTTGTTATTTAAAAAACGGTTAGTCTTTCGGGAAAACGTTTGGACAAGCATAATTTATTTGATTTTTTTACATATTTTGAAATTTTTTAAAAAATCATACTGGGTGTTCCAAAAAGTTGGGTAATTTCTTAAGTAAGATTTAAGTTATATAATAATATCGTCATATTGTTTTTTCTCATGCTGACATAAATGTGAGAAAATTTTTATCCAATTTGTATGTTAATGGAAATTCTTGCTTTGCTTTATCATCACCACTACAAATGATTAATTCGATGCGAACAGAAGTCGCTAATAAATTATAATACAAGTTAGACCTTCTAAAGATATCAAAATATTTACTTTTTATTTTTAAAATTTACTTTGATTTTCTCGGTCGTA